GATATAGAGTCTTGCACATTGTATACATTTTGTATGTATGTGTAAATATTTTGTATCAAACGTTTCTGAATGTATGAGAATTATTTTTGTCAAGCATTAAGGTAATATTTTTAATTAATTGTCTTCATTACACTGTACATAAAAAATTGTTTCTACTTTGCTATCTCTATATGCAAATGCATTTATAAACTTTTCAGCATTAAGACATACTTTAAAAGATGCATCAAGCAAAATGTTCACTATTTGACTTAAACAACTAAAACGCATAGTGCGAACGAGAAAACCACGTAGCTTTTTCATTAGCACTACAGTTTCATTGCAGTTGGATTCATACTTCGTGGAATTAAATCAACTATCGTCTGATGTGCTGATTGATGATCGGTGTTAATACAATACTCAAATGTTGAGTTTTTAAATACTGCGAAATTACTTAATCAAAATACAGCATTGAAATGGCATTTAAATATTAAACACTGCTACTAGTATTTAAGTACTGCCTGCAAGAAATTTAAAATATTTTAAATGCCATGCAGTCTTTATTTGATGCAATTCGCCCGATTAATAGAAAAACCGACGCGCTCGATCAGCCGGTTATAACAGCGGCACAACATTTTTCATTTTTATTATTTTATACATACACACATTACATTGCAGTAACTTTAACAAATGTTTACATTACTAATAAATTCTGTTTAAATTCACTAAAATTATTAGAGATGTCTGCATAAAACGCACAAAGGAAAATAAATGATTGAGTTATATATCAACTTTTCTGTCAAAGTTTTTAACTTTGTTAATTACTAATTATCGTCCTAAAATAATGAAATACTGTTTAAATAGTAATATTTAATTGAGTACTTAAATACTATTTCAGTTCTTGAATACTCTAAACAGCACTATAATTATTCTTAATGACGTAATTTAATGCTAATCTCGATAAATGAGATGTGATCTGCACTCAATCTCTACCCATCCACTTAACGGGATCTCATAACATTTGAAGTGTATTTATTTTATAAGAAATATCTTTATTAAATTTTACTTAGTAATTTTGTGTAAATTTTTCGTAGTGTTTTTTGAAGCATCATTTAAAGCTACGTAACGAAATTTTTTGTTGAAGGATGTTGACACTTAAATAAACATCAAATGTATATATATACATATATATATATATATACATTTTATATATATATGTGTGTGTATGTGTGTGTGTTTGTGTATGTGTTTGAGTGTGTACGTAGTAGTATAAATATATCTGTATACATGTAATGAAATATATTTATATATATACATATAATTTATATATATAAATATATATATATATAAACATATATTTACATGCATACATATATATGAATAAATGTTCATACTTAAACGAAATCTTGAATGTATGTAGATATATTCATATAATGATTTGGTGCGGAGGTTGTAACACGCAGAGAGAGAGAGAGAGAGAGAGAGAGAGAGAGAGAGAGAGAGAGAGAGCGGGAGATACACGCATACATCTCATATAGTGGCTTCTGTATTGATTTCCAATGGAGCAGCTTCCCCATACAGCCAGACATGCATTCTTACGTCTACTTTTTATTCATGTCTCTTTAATTTTATGTTAATTTATGCCACTATGGTTTAATCTTGTTATCTTTGTATAAATTTAAATACTAATAATAGTCCTCATTGCAAATCAGCACGCGTACATGGAATCAAGCCGACTAGTAATATTTTAATGATAGTGTATTTCATGGTTGGAGCAATACAAATTTTTCTAAATTTGTACATGACACTTCTACTGAATATCATTTAATATCAAATTTTATTTTTGAAGCTGCTACAAAACTTAGATTTCGAAAATAGTTTATCAAGGCTCATTGGCATTTCACAAATTCTACATGCTCTATCCTAATTCAATATTTTTCTTGAAAACGGCCTTAAGAGTTTTTCTAGATTAAAAAATGTTTCTCTCAACCTGGCCAGAAGTACCACAGACATCCTTCGTACCCTGATTGCTCGGAAAATTATTTTTAGTTCATATATTTTACCACCAAATTATATTCCTTTCTCATTCATGTTTTAGAAATCGAACAGCGTTTTTTGTATTATTTTCCAGAAACACCTCTGACTTTTTCATAATTTCAATTTTTCAATGACATTTGTATTCTACATTTTTAGAAAGAACATGGCGCCGACACAAATATGGAACGTGTAATAAATTTATTTTGTTTAATTTTGTCAGCCTTTAACATTTTTAGAGTAATAATGACTCTTACTTTTTAGGCCCACCTTTCAAGTTTATATTCTGGAATTATCATTTCAAATGTGCAATGTTTCCAATTTGAAAATGTATTATTTTCATGTTACAAATCAATTTTGGCAAGTTTCTTGAATATTTAACGAATATTAAGAGAAATCTTGATTTCAACATGTTCGTTCATGTTCATCGCCTGTGACTGCAAAGCACTTTTATTGTTAACTTTTCATAAGCAATCATCTGTTAGTAGAAAAAATTCATTATACACTACGTTTCAATTGTACGCCACAATAATGGATCATCAATTTGATCACACTGGAACATACAATTTCCTCCATTTAGGTCGGAGGTGAGGCGAAATTTCTTGAGGGCAGCTCGTTCAGGCAACTTGGAAAAGGTTCTGGAATATCTGCGGAACAAAACTGACATTAACGTTTGCAATGCTGTGAGTAGCTCGTGATTTTAAAAATTTTAATATTTATGCCAATTGTATAATACTTAAAGGACAATACACTTGAGATGAACCATACACATTAAATGAACAATTCAATCCGATTAAACAAAAATGATTTTAATTATTTGTTACATATCATCAGTAAATCAATGCATGAATAAATATATCGATACAATCTGCACTTTAAAGCTCATACGTTACCGACTTGCAATTAACTAACATGGCCTACTATATGTTTTTCTTTTAAATGTGATAATTTTTTTAAAAAAAGTAGTTAAATGTTGGTAGTTATTTGAAGAACCTTTTAACTCTCAGAATGGGATGAATGCGTTGCACCTGGCTGCCAAGGAAGGACATGCCACAATCATTTCAGAACTCGTTAACAGGGGAGCTGCTATCAATTCAGTAACTAAGGTAATGGTGTTTTTCCTGGTTGGAAATTTTTTCTTTGTTTTACTACACAACACTTTAGCATAAAATTGCAATTTGTTGAAAAATTTATTGACATAAATATTTATAATGGTTATAATTTTAATAATTTATCATTTTATTTTCAGAAAGGTAACACAGCTCTCCATATTGCTTCCCTGGCAGGCCAGAGAGAGGCCGTTGAGACATTAGTGAAACTTGGAGCAAAAATCAATATACAATCTCAGGTTGTTTCATGATGCTCAAAACTTTTTTGTTTACTATTTTATTGAAAAAATTGTTGATTCGCTGTTGAAAATGATTAATTTTGGTATGATTTTGTGTTTCCTTAGATGTTAGTTTTTAAAAATTTTCATTTCAAAGCTGTCCCAACTCTTTTTAATAACGAGAGAAGTACGCTTCCTACAGAACTGTTTTGTGAGGTTTCACTGAATAGCCCCAACAAAACCATCTGTTCCCTGCTAAATGGATGAACATTTCTACCATTATTTTTTTCAATATGTAACTCTTGAAATGATCTAACAAGAACTTGTTTTACTACATCTCATGTTATGTCACCCCAGTGCTAACGTCTTGAAGCCGCTACGCTACGTGTTGAACCTGTGCAAATGTTGACCCACAAGTTACAGATGCTATAATTGTTATGAGTTTAGAAAATAGCTGATTTAAAATTATTGGGAAAGCCTAACATGTGTGAAAAATGAATATCAAGAGCAAAATGGCCACTCATTGATGTTCTGTAGGAAAAATAGAATTTTCGTTATTACAAATAATATTGATCTGTCAGTCAAACACATCAAATTTCCGCCATCAGGTTCGTATTTACTCTTTCAACTTCCATTCAGAAACTGTCAAGCACTTCATTATTTCCATCTTTAAATACCGATTTGTTCTGCTTAATGATAAGCATAAGCATCAAGCTTATTTAGAACAAAGAAAACTAAAAATATTTGAACATTTTGTTGTTTATGCCTGGTTGAATTGTAACAATGTTGTGGTTTTCATCTTCTACTTGCTTCATGCTCATCCAAAAAATAGTTTCACTATAAAATTAATATTATTTCCGAGAGTACCTGCCAATCATTGAAAAATATTTTTCCAAATATTATGCGTTTGCTGATGATTTGCAGATAGTTTGTTCAAGTACTTCGGTTCTCACTTTTGAGGAGCTAGCTGATACATTTGTTTCTTGTTTCAAAGAATTCAATGGTTGGATGGTCGAGAATGGATTAAAGATGAATGAAAGCAGCAGTTACAAAAAATTCTTATTAATTCAATCAATATTTCCGGTACTGTTGTCGATTTATGCACATCGGTTGAATATTTGGGTATCACATTTGATCAAACTATGACAATGACCAGCATATCAGGGCACTTACTAAGGAATGTTGTTTTCAGCTTCGAAGACTTAGACATATAAAAAAAATCTCTTGATAAGAAAACACTGAAATGCTTCGTTCATTCATTTTTATGGAGTGTCCAATAGACTGATCGATCATCTGCAGTCTATTCAGAATCGAGCGGCAAAAATCATTTCTTGTAGATTGAAGTTTAACCATCTATGCCACGCCCTGTTTGACCTTCATTGGCTAACAATCAGAAAAAGAATATTATTCAAGATCTTTATTTAGACCCACACTATCTGTTTAGAAATTTATCATATAAAACAACAACAGCTCATCGTGTTTCGACACGTTCAGATGACAAAGTTTTTCTGTCGATGCCGTAGACGCGGTTGGTGGTGGCCACTTGTGGTTTTGCAGTCGCAGGTTCAACAGTTTGGAACAGTTTGCCGGACAGTCTGGGTCAACCAGGATTGACTGTTCAACAATTTCGCAGGAAGCTGAAAAATTTTTTTCTCATGCATCAATTCCACTAGGCTCAAGAAGCGCCTCTAAGTAATATTAAAGGGTGCTATATAAATTCTCTAATAATAATAATAATAATAATCATTCGCTTTCATATGTTAATGAAAGAAATGCATTTGAAAATATGTTAGACTTTGATAAACTGTTTTAATGTCCTATATTTTTCATTTTGTATGATTTCATGTCAATCAACCAAGCAATCAAAATACCCAATAAATGTTTTGAAACTTATTCAAAATTAAATCAATTGTTTTCAATAATATGCCAGACTAAGATTAACTTCACTTCACTGCCCTTCACTTTAACAAGGAAAAATCGTGTTTATTAAGTATATTATCAAAGTGCAATAGTTAACAAATTTTATTTGTATATAAAAATTTTAAATTTAAAACAAATCCTCAAGAATCTTAAATTCCCAAATGAAATATTTGAAACTCATTCCTATAGTTTGTCCGTAAACTTTGAAAATATTTTTTGATTCTTGCCTAAGAAAGTATCATCAATTAATTTTCAAACACAAAAACAAGCAATGTTATTAGAAGTACTGAGACAGCGTTTATCTGGGCTGTTTTCGTCTACTTTAGTCAAGATAGTGTAAAATTGGTTGTATTTGAATGTTATCCTAACCCTAACTCTAAACTTTTATTCAGGATTTCAAGGTATTTACAAAAATTGTCAAAGTTTTAATTTGCTTTTAGCAGAAATAGGTACTCCCACAACTAAAACCCGCTAAACAGTATTTCACAATGTTTCAAAATATATATATACACATACGCACCCACACACACTCATATATTTAAGATATGAAATAAAATTTTATTTGTCTATCAAAATGGGAAAAAAAATTAACAATAAGTAAAAAAGAGGACCAAAATAGAATTCTAAAAAAAATTCATCGCAACGGTCATCTAAGCATTTATTATCGTAGAGTTTCAAGTGGTCAATAAAAATATTCAGAAATAAAAATTGAGATTTTCTGTTTAATCCATAATAGTCGGGATAATTGTTAATATATGGTGACTGAGCCAGGAATAAGTTGTGGAGGGCTTAAATTAAAAAACTTCGCAGCCTTCTTTTTTTATTATTAAACAATTTTTGACATGTTGCTATTAAAACCAGTAGTTTTGAACATACTTAACTTTAGCGCTGTAGGGGTTGAAATTGTTTTCAGTCAAAATTTCCTAAATGTTTATGTTTATAGAAATTTCATTCAATTTAACCTTCAATCCAACAAGGTCCCTGGTCTACACTTTTGATGGCCTTAAACAAAATTAACTATGTTTGTAAAACACGTTTCAGTTGTTAGTTGGAATGATTTTTGTTAAGTCTCATGGATAATCTATCATATGAATTACCACTAAACAGAGTGTTTACATTTAGCATGAATAAAATAAATCAAATAATACAAATGAATACAAATACAGTGTTGAAAATTAGTCATGTATCGTTTGTTGGTAGGTCAATTTTCTGGTTTTCTTTGAAGATGTGAATTGAAAACAAATTTAATTTGGAGCTTTTGTTGATCATTGAAATTCAAATCCTCAGTCCAGAGCAACTCACATGACAGTGGAGGATAGCTGTTTTAATGCGTACGATAATATAAAAAACTGATATTTTTTAGCCTTGATTTCCTTTGTAGTAAGTTCAAAAAACATTTTGTAGTCTGTTTGTTAATTCTTTATGCACAAATTACATAACTAAATAAATCTTGAGAATTGAAATGGTTATGGTATATAATATATAAATATACTAGATTTATATTTATATATATATGTATATGTATATATATATATAACATATACCTTCAATCTGTTTTATATATATGCATATATATATATCTTTTATATATACATATACTATATATATATACTATTCTATGAATATATATGTCGTTTTTTAAAACTTACATATAATTATTGATGAAAATCACAGCATGTTTGGCGTTAGTTAATTTTCTATTTAACTTTTTGACTTTTTTAACAGTTGAACTAAATCATTTCCAAGTTTCTTTAGTTCAAAACCAAAATTTTTGTTTGATTTATACATAATAGAACAGAAAAGCTTTTCTCGGTATTCCTATACCATATTCGATGTTGAAATTGATATTTTGTGATTGTGCCCAGATGCTCAAATATTTTTATACTGTGCCGATTTATTTGTTCCTTTTTTGTTTGAAGTGAATATTTAGTTTAAGGGTAATTTGGCCTTAAATAATCAACATAAACATATTTAGGGGGCATAGCTAAGCACATAACATAATAATAATTATAACAATAATACTTAATAAAACTTAATAATGATTAAAAGAACCCTGCCATGACTAGGTTACAACAAAAAAATCCAAATCCTCTAACAAAAATTTATTAACAACATTAAGTTTCGAAACAATGGACCTGATACAAGCTTAACCTAATGGAGAAACCTTTTTATAGAATTTGACAATTCTCCAACGTTCTGACTCAGAATAAAAAATTATCTATATTATCAGCCTCTTGTTGCCTCCATAACTAATGATTTTAGTTTTGCAAACTGCTCTGGAGTTAGATCGTGACTAATTCTTTTTCAAGTCGCCTCATGCAGGTTGAATTTATATGAGAATTATAGTATTAACATTTTAAATGATAAGAGCTGACTTTCACAATAACATGTTGTGTAACTTTGTCATTTTTTCGGCCAGGTTCTAAAAATGTTTGAAACATCGTTGCTGTTGCAGTTATCACAATCGATTGATTTCAAAATAAAAATAACACTAGCAATTACGAAGTTGAAGATTGTAAAACTAAGTTTTCACTTTAAACAAACAAGGAATCAACAAAGTAGAGTTGAGGCACAGTATATATATATACATACATATATATATATAAATATATATATATTACATACATATATATATACATATATATATATATATATATATGTATGTATATATATATATACTATATATATATATATATATATTATGTGTGCCGTATATATACATATATATATAGGTTATATATACATATATATATATATATATATATAGGTTATATATTTTATATATATATATATATATACATATAAGTAATATTTATGCATAACAAGACACAATGGTATGCAGAGATGGTGTTACATACATTCCGTCCTATTTGTGGGTTCATCGATTGATTTTACACGAGGGTGCTTGCTGATCAATTGCGTGAAAGCACGTGGGATCATCATGTAATTGTTGTCGCCCTGCTTATTTCCTCTTTCGTCCGGCATAGTGTTTTTTGCGCTGTTTTCGTTGCAGACTGTCTGCCCCGACGTTTTTGTTTTTTATGCCATCGGCGTTGGCTCGTTGTGCTTCATCTGGCTCATTCGTTTAACCAATTTTTTGTTTTTAATCTTTGAAAAATAAAACAGATGAGAGCCATTTGAAAATTTTTTTGCCATAAATTAAAAAAAGTTATTTAACGTTGTTTACATTGCTTAGTTACGAAATGTTGTTTATTAAATTGAAATAGCGGTAGTGGTGATGATCGAGAGGGTGATGATGATGATGGCGATAATGTTAATTGCTTTATTAGGAAATGTTTTTTTTTATAAAAATCTTAATTACAAACTTGTTAAATATATCTTAAATAAATTTTCAGACCTGAATATTCTCAAAACTGCATAAACAAATTCTGATCTTAAAAGCATGTCAACAATACAATTTTTGATTCAACGTTAAACTAACCAAAATTTCGAATGATTTTTTGCACTGAGAACAAACAGCATGCAGGACATACAAAATTATGTCATTTCCATTACGAAAATCAATTATTCAATCTCTTTCAAGTCGCAGGGAAAGTAAGTTAGTTGAATGAATTCTAGCTGTAAAAAGTAAAAATTATTAATATGCTGCTTGAGATACTCTTACTCAACTTAACCACAGTATTTTTTATGGCACAATAACTACAAACTTTTTATCAAAAAAGAGTTCAGGAGCATTTTGACTTTTTAATAAGCAGTTGGACAGGTCGCCTGTTGAGTTTAGCGATGACTCTAATTTTACCGATTAAATTATTTTATTCTTTTGAAGTTCTGAATATTTTTTTATTAATTTGTTGTTATGATGTTTGTGATCTGGTTTTTTCACATTCTCCATTTTTGAGTGTTTTAAAATTTGCATTTGAAGTTATTTGAACTTAAATTTCGGTCAAAAAATTCGAGATGAAAGTGGCGGGAAACAATTGTGATGATAGCGTTTGTTTTA